GGACTGTAAATAAAAACAGATGAAGGCGCATGTGACCAAAGTCGTTATCTTTGCCTGGTGTGAGAGAGAGAGAGTCTTAGGTGGGACTTAACGGGGACATTGCTAATTGCCAAAGGACGCAATGGTGGTGTTAGGAGCCGCCTTAACGGACACGCGAGCAGGCAGGCTATCGATCCGCCTACACGTGGCGAACGCAACTGGCGGTCAATTAATCAATAATTTAAAATGTAAAGATGGGGGTCCGGCTAAGACTGACAAGCTAGTCTTTGAATCACAAGCCAATCAGTATCTGATTGATCCGATTGACATGTCTGTATACGCGTTTGTTTACCTTAAATATGTTGTACTAAGTACGCTAAAAGACGTCTACTTTTGCGCTCTTCTTGCCGTGTTCTCCTTTGAGGACTCACACAAGGCGTAGTTAGGCGGTGACATCTCGGCTTTGGTTACATCTACAACAGGTGGCACACAGTTATAGACAGTTTAAAAAGGGTCCGATCACATGCTAGAGGAGACTACATAAAACATGTGACGGATGAATGAGACGACACTTATTGCTATTCAACCCAGGAGAAGAAAATAAATGAGGTGATAGGACCTACTGCACAATAGATTCGGTAGAGTGGGACGCCGGCGTAACTGAAACCCAGCATGAACACACTCAATGCAGTGCAGTAGTAAATAGCCGAGATGCGTCTCAAGTTTTCACTTCTGTGTCCGCCCGAGGTGAAAGAACGAAGCTGGTGGCCCAGAGCATTGTCTAGCACCCTCAACGGGCCAGGTGACCGGCAGCAGGCAAAAAGCGACCGGAAAATCTGAAAGGACAGGACAGAACTACACGACAAAGTACACCTACTGTGCAAATGCATGGCAAGAGGTTAATAACATAAAGGGTGAGGGAAACACAAACTGGCAAAATATTCCATGCTAAGTTGAATCGAGTTGGCAATATTTTACTGGGCTCATCAGCATCTGTACATGTGGCTGCAGAAAGTATATCAGATGCAGGAGTCTCAATGCGGTGATCACTTCAACTGGCGGTTAAACAGATACGGGTAGGCAAGGATATCTCAGGCAAGCTAAGAAAGACGACTGAGGTGGTTCGGACACGTCCTTTGCCGTCAACCTCACGAGCTCAATGTTACCGCCCTCGATCTAAAACCGTTACCTAATTAGAAACATCGAACTGGGAGTCAGCTAAAAATCTGACTCGACTCAGTCCGTCAGGACAGACAGAAGTGGTTCTTGGACCTTCGGTATTTGGGCTCAGGCGCTGGCGAAGAGAATGGATTGAACTGTCCAGGCCTGCAGCCACAGATCGTCGCGCACAGAGAAGCACATTACGGGATATTATCGAGGCCGGCTAGATCAGTCATGATCGCAGCCGCAACAAGTACAAGTAAGTACTTGTCCCTTTTAGTCGGCTATACTTTGGATGCGAATTGTGAGTAATTTATGGAGAGAACAATGCACGAGTCATGGCACAAACAGACGGTGATATACTGCGTACCCGGGCCCCATTTGTCTTGGTCTAGTCATTAAGGTGTAGTAGTCGAGGGAAGAGGCCAATTCCGCGCAAATATTAACCCCCAGAATGTCATCGGAGCGCAAATACTATTAAATACTACTCTACCGTCATGTTAATACTACTCTAACCGTTTTTGATCGCTCTAATACTACTCCGTTTTCCATTTTTAGTTCTAATATGCCTACTGTAAGATGAATGAAGCCCAATTCTAGGGTACTCGTGAAATCTGACGCCTCGTCTGTTTGACTTATGTTTACTGAATCGGACGGCTCTATCTATTGTAATTACGACAACTTATTCATACTACAACTCAAAATGGATAGACTTCTCGAACCAGAACGATTCGATGTGGATGCGAATACTCAAGACGCCTCTAAACAATGCAAACATTCGTTCTGCACGCCCAAGAACTTTATGAGCACGATCACAAGTTTGAAGCCGAACACATTGGGCATTCTGACTAATTATGTTTCTCCGACAGTTTGGGAATGCATCAGTGAACGTACCACTTTCGAAGGTGCTATTAAATTGTTGAAGAACCTTTATTCAGACACTAAAAATGAAATCTTCGCTCGCCATCTACTAGCGACCTAGAGACAAGATGGTGGACAGACCCTTGATCAATTTACTCAGAAACTGAATTTTTTTAGGTAGGGACTGCGATTTAAAAGCACTTACGGCAGAGCAGTACTGCGAGGACGCTGCTATAGACGCCTTTGTTAGCGGCCTTTTATCAAATCAGATTTGACAGAGACGCTTGGAACTGAAGTGGGCGAGGGAAGAGGCCGATTCGGCCAAAATATTAACCCGTGGAATATCATCGGAACGCAAATAGGCTTAAATACTACCCTACACCCGTAGAGGTCCTGTTATACTGAACGAATAGACAACAAAAGCTTTAATTGTTGAGCTACACATAGGGTAATTCAGGCTGCTATCCCAGGTACACAACAGTATCAGTTGTGGTGGTCTGTGTCGGCATGTTTTACCTTAGCTGCCACTGTTATCTAACCCCATTTATTCGATGTAATCATGTTTATCTGTTGACATGTTCTCAAGAGAATCGCAGATATATTTATGAAAGCGTATCACGCGACAAGCTAAGAAAAGGCGTCTGGGCCAAGCATTTCAGAAAAATGTAAAGAAGGGCGATCGTTTCTGCCCAACGTCCAGGAAATCCTTAATAGGGTAGGAAAAGTGTTCAGCGACGCCACAGGACTACCAATAGATGACCCGTTTCGCTTTCCTATCAAGTCCATGGCAGACTTTGATAATTTCGACGCTTCTCTGGAAGAAACAAAACTGCTTAAGCAGATGGTTATCGTGTATTCTCTTGCTGATATAGATCTCTGGACCCATTTCTCATACGAACTTGGCTGCACATGTCTCATCAGAATTGGAGAAAGAACGATACACTGCGTGTTGATCGGAGACTGTTAAATATCGCTGGCGACAAAAAAAGGGTTTCTGTGTCCCACACGCGCGTATACGCGATCAGCGGTAAATCTATAAAGTTCACTGATAACAATGTTCTATGGTTGCGTTAGAGAAATGCTCTTATTAGATCCATTGTTAGTAGGCCTATTGATTGTCCTGCATTGTGTGCTAACATACTTCCGCACCGACGGTAAGCACCAGTCAGCGTACGTAATACCGCCCAGCATTGCATGCAAAATGTACAGGAAAACTAATCCAAGGAATTGCCATGAAGGTCTATCGAACCCCACGAGTTCTCCAGAGTTTTTTAATACTATGTACGCCTGAAATGACCACATGAAAGTAGACATTGTTGTTTGGATGCAGACGGCCTCCAAGATCACAAGCAACGCGATCGGTTATCGACACAGAGAGAAAGGAAACCCCTTAACATGCCGAAATAGACTTATAAATGCACGATCGTGCGATTGGGGCCTAAGCATTACATGGTAAATGGCAGTAAGTTAAAAAAATCGGGAAGACACGTAAGAAAAACAATAATTACTATGGATCAGTTATTAAAAAAGAGGTTCGGTGGTTTGGTTTGGTTAACAAATAACCTGAAAAAGTAAACCGAAAAATCCCGCAGTCTACCATAAAGACCAATACCCCCTCAGACCACTAAAGTACCAATTGAAGAACGCAATTGAAGTGTTTTTAAACAAAACCACAAAATCAAATCACATTTCAACCACAAAAATTGAAATGCAAAGAATGATATATGGTATCAGTAAAATCCTTCGTCAACACCGAAGTGCGAATAACAAAGGCCCATGAACCACTTCAATGTTCTTTCAGACTGAGTCGAGTCAAGTTTTGAGATGACCCCCTTCTCAAAGATTTCAGTCAGGTGCCAGTGTCGTATCAAGAACAGGAACAGTGTGCTCGTGAATTCGACGACGAAAAACAGTTCAAATTACCTCAGGCGTGCTCCTTAGATGGTCCGGAATCTCTATGCTCGTTTTTCATATCGAGTGAGAATTGTCTCAGTTTAGACGCGGTTGGTGTTCGTCACTCGAGGGGTGGTCCTCAACCAGTATTTTTAAATACCTCCAGTTATCTGTCATCTTCAAAGTGCATAGCCTAGCATTCGCAATTGTAAAAAAGGACAGACTGAACGCGGGCATAATACACGCGACCGCTCGTGGGAGTGGAATTATCGCGTCGGCTCCATAGGCACTTTCTACGTCTTAAGAAAT